CTAATTAATTTCATAATGATAATAATAATAAATATTATTACTGATAACTTTTTTTATCAATTTATATATTATAAAAAAGAGAGTGGCTAAAGGTAAGGCACTTTTAGCCACGTCCTATAAAAAAGAATCACTTAATCAAAAAAAATAAATCTAGTGAAAAGTAATTAATTCAATACCACAGTTGTGTGAAAAAAAATTGCTCCAATATTATTGGCATCATTCCTATATATTATGGGAACCATTCCTATATATTATGGGAATCATGCCGATATTACAGTTATAATTATAGGTATCGTTCCTATAATTATAGGAACCATTCCCATAATTATAGTAACGTTTCCCAAAAATTATGGGTATAATTCCCATAATTTAAGTAATCGCTCCTAAAATGGTATAGGAAAATATTTCATTAAAATTATAGGAATGATTTCCACATTTTTCTCTCCGTGTAGTTTATAATAAATGACAGTTTGATAAAAGTTTAATCTAACTAAATAACTTTTAATCCTTATCAGTACATTATCAGTTATCACTTATAATTTTATTTTTGATATATAATAAATATTCATGCGTTATCATTTATCATGTTCAATATCATCAATATAAATATATTTATAAATAAAACTCTTTTTGTTATTCTCACTTGATTGATTGCATCTGTTAGTGACATTTACCCTGTCATCATATCAACAATTAACACTATTACTTTTATAACTACAACTAATTTACATACATTCATCCACTGCATATAAGACACTTAAAAAAAATATTTACAAAATTAACATTAATTAAATTAATATACAAAAAAAATAAACATAAAAATAAAAAAAATAACTCATGCACTATTACTATAGTTTTTTCTACTAAAAAAAAACTATTCACTGATAAAAGAATTTTTTTAAATTTATAAGTTTTTTTAATGATTTTTCAACACTGGAATAATTAATAAATATTTATTAACAGTTAATAAATCATTTGTTGAACATAATAAATAAACTGTTAATAAACATATCTTTAAAATGGTATTTTTTCTATGCAATTATTGAAAAGTAAGTTTTGAATTAAAAAGATAAATTAACTGTTAAAATTATGATTTTCTTTTTTAAAATAGTATTTATTTTTAATTAATTACTATTTATTATAAATTTACTATTATTTATTATAGTTTAATTTTTTTCCGTGTATATTTTTAGATTAAAAAAACTTTCTTAATATCAATATTTTTTTCTCTTATAGTATTTAATAAATTAATAAATTAATTTATCAAAAGTTAATAAATTCTTCTATCAGTATTAGTTATAATCACTAAACTCTACAAACATAAAAATAAAAATATAAGCAATTTCTACAAGGATCACGATCAGAAAATAAATCTACACTGAGAGAAAATTTTATTTAATAGTAATAAAAAAGTTTATTTGGACTTGAAAAGAAAACTTAGTTAATAGTAATAAAATTATATTCCATATGAATAAAATTTTATTAGTATTTAATAAAATTTTCTTAAATACTAATATGTGTTTTTAATACAAATATTAAGTCATTAAAACAAATAATTTCAAGAAAAAAATTAATATTCATCAATTAATTATAATATATTCAAATATATATTTTTACAGTAAAATCTTTTAATAAATAAATAGTATAAAGATGTTTCAACGAGACATCCTAACCTAACTTACTTGTTTATTTCCCCTTCCCCTTTATTAGCCAAATAAACGTTTTATTAAATAGTAATAAAATTTTATTACTATTAAATAAAATTTTCTCTCAGTATACGTAATTAAAAGTTAAATTAAAAAAATAAAAATAAAACTATTTATAGAGGATAGGAAACTACAGTACAAACTTACAATAAATGTTTACAAATTACAAATGCAAATAACGTTCTCTAACCATATCTCGGTATACAGACCTCGAGCCGAGATCGCCCCTGGGCCCGACGGCTTGGAAAGGACTGGTCTCGGTCAGTCGGAAGATTCCTCCTGCGTTCGGAATCGCGGGGTGGTTGTGCTGCGGACTGTGGGGTTCAAATCTGAACCCCGTCGGTGGAAACTTGAAGGCGGTCATGTGGTTGAACCGAAGCTGGGTCTGCGTCGGGTCGTACCTGAATCCGAGGCCCGGGGGTGGAAGAGGCGCCACCGGACCCAAGGAAACTGGCGAAGGCTGGTGGTGGGACTGCGATGGCGGAGTTGAAGAGGGCGAGGGTGGCGAAGTTCCGCCGAGAGATATATCCGAGTCTTCTGAGTCGCTTCCTCCTCCAGGACTGAGGGGTCGTCTTGAACCTGCACCTCCTGGGCCTGATTGCTGTTGCAATCTGGAATTTTTTGTAAAATATCTTCTATTTAGAATTTTTTATTCAAAAGAATTTTTTGTTTAAAAATTATTGTTATTGTTCTTGAATTTAAAATAATTTTATTTACAATTTTATGCACGTTGTTTATTTCTCAAGATTTAAGATATGATATTTTTATTTTATTTAAAGTGTGAGGTGTTAAATGTCGACACATTCCCAGCTCTTGTCTTACTGAGTAACAGAGTGTTAATAATAATCGCTTTACAGCTCGTTACTTGCTCATAACACTACAATAATTAACTACGATACTTGTACTGTAGAAGAGGTAATTAAAGTACCGCCTATCGTATTTTATTTTCATAAATTAACTTTAAAAAACTATTTTTTAAAGAGTAACTTTACATTCTCAAATAAATTTAATTTGAGCTTCTTTGTAAATTTATGTTAGTTAAATTTGAACATTGGTAGACTGATAAAAAAATTGACTTGATTTAAAGAAAAAATCTTAAGCTAAGAAAATAAATTTTAAGAAAATGAGTTTCATAAATTACAATTCAATTTTTTTTGAGTTGAAAATTATAAATTATTTTTATAATATATCTTAATATAAAATTGAGATGAAATGTATGTGGCATCAAACTATTCGTAACGTGATTGGTTGAATATATCATAAGCATGAAAATATATGCAAACTCTATAGTCAAAGCGCGCGCTTGCGCGCGTAAATTCAAATTCTAGTCCCATAATAAAATTGAGATGAAATGTACACAGACAAAAAAATTAACTTGAATCAAGTAAAAATTTCTTGAGCCAAAAAAAAATAAATTTTAGAAAAGTTTCATTGTCTTGGATCAAGACAGAAAAAATTTCATTGAACAAGTAAAATTTATTTAAGCCAAGAAAATTTCTTGGTTTAAGAAATTTTTTACTTAAATCAAGAAGATTAAGTTCTTCAAAATTATTTACTTGATTCAAGTAAATTTTTTTTTCTGTGTATGTGGCATCAAACTATTCGTAACGTGATTGGTCGAATATATCATAAGCATGAAAATATAGACTATATATGCAAACCCTATAGTCAAGGCGCGCTTGCGCGGGCAAATTCAAATTCTAGTATTTACATAATTAAAAAATAAATAAATGGTTCATTCAATGACTTGGTAGTAAAACAAAAATAATAAAAAAAAAAAATCAAGATTTGTATTACTAAAATTAAGCTCAAAAAGAGTGTTGTATATACAAATGATTTAAAAGAAGAAACAATTCGTGCTTCCACTTTACAATTCCTCTGCTGTCGGCGACACTGAATCGATCCCAGCTCTCGGCAGAGTTGAAACAAATAAAAAAAAAAAAACAAGGGAGAAAAAACTAAAAACCTGAGTATAAACTCCCGTTGATGTACATTAGAGCGTAAATGAAACTCGAGAACGAAACACAAATGGCAGTAAAAGTATAAATAAAATAAGACAAAAAATATAAACTGTTTTCATTACTAATCGGTCTGTCCCTTATATTCGTTACTGTGAAACTCAACAGCCGTCTTTTATCGCTTTCAGTCTTTGTGGATTTTTCTTTTTGAGCTTCAAGTAGTTTATTTTATTTGACATTTTGCAACATGCAGTTGCCATCAGACGTTAAACGAGTGTCAACTCTCGTTTATTTAACTATTATTTGTTTCGATAAATAAATTAACAAACTTTTGATTAATTTTTTAAGAACTCAAATAAATTGTTTGTTTGTTTTCTTGGAAGTTACGAATTTTTTTTTAATGCTCGTAAAATAATTTTATGTTAAATTCGGCAATTAATCATTTCACACGTGACCACTTTAAATTAACGAGAAGGGTGTAGCAAATCAAGAAGGCATTTATATGCTGCGGACTTTTACTCCAAAGACACCGCTGATGCTATTCTGTATCTGCTATTACATGTGTTATATATTGAAAAAAGTGAATTAAGAATATAAGAGATGGTGGAAAAAAATAACCGAAATTCGGTAGCACGAAATTTGTGAATACGCATGTGTAAATGTAAAATTGGGTATCAGGTGCACTGTCCGGATGCGTGTGGTAACGGCGCGTGCATTTACGCGGGATGACAAGACGCTTTTTCAAAGCATATCACCGGACGTACTAAAGTCCACGGGTCTCTGCCAATTATATTACGATGGACGGGATATAATGCCGCTTATTCGGTCGGTGAACCTATCATTCGAATTTAAACTTTACGGTTAATATCGTTTTATATTCACAAGATGAAATTTTGCTAAAATTCTTGAAGAAAAAAATTTTTTATACCCAAAAAAAAAATAACTTGATTTAAGAGATTATTTTATTTAAAATTTCATTTTTGCTTTAAGATTTTCAATTTGAGTGTATTAAAAAAATTTTTTTTTTCATGAACCTTGGCAAAAATATTTTTAAAATAGACATGAATTTTTTATATATTTTTTCAATTAAGGATAAAGGTATCCAGTTATCTTAAAAGTGATTTTTTTTAATCAAAAATAGTTTTTTTCAGTGTCGTAAGAATTTGTCATAAATAATTACTAAACAAATAATTAATAAATTTTTTGCAACAAAATAAAATCTGACTTCAAATAAAATAAACAATGTTATAAAAATAATAAGCACCCCTACGGAGAATAAAAAGGTCTAGAGTGCAAAGAACGGGATATCATTTTAACAGAATCTGGCCGACGTGTCATAGTACACTATTAAAAAAGGCTCATATCTACTTTCATATTATATTAGTATACATAGGCACCACCCGAACGGATTTTGGTTTTTCCCCCCTAAAACAAAATTTCCGCATCTTCGTCTCGAGTCCCTTGTCCACCTTTAGCTGAACTACGCACAGGGTACAGGCCCTGGCACATAACAGTATACGGCTAAATACCCAGATGCACAATGGGGGTACGTATCGCCGAAAAATCTGAGCCCGGTTTGGCCCACGACAAAAGGTAACTGGATACCTCGGCACGGTGTGCATCGTTCATGTGAACGACGGAATGGAACGACGGCCGAGCAGAGGCGCGATTTGAAACGGTCCATGCATGCACCCTGTCTTTTTCTCATTCTCTTCTTTTTCATTTTTTACTATCGCTGCTATATTGTTATTATTGTTATTATTGTTATTATTATCTTGTAGTATTCGTACCCGAGTACGATAAAATAGTTTTCACTCTTTCGCTCTTTACTTGCTCTTACTTGCTCGCGTTATGTACTCTACACCCCACCCGACCCCCAGGCATTTTTTCATCCCCAGCTCGTTTTTAATAGCCGCTAATAGAGACGTTAAAACGATATGGCCCCTTCCAGCGACTCTGACGGCTTCATCTCTTTCTCCAACGTTTTATACATTCAACTCTCTTTTAGATCATATTATTCCTTCTTTTATTACACGTGTGCTTTATACTATGGGGTATCCGATGCTCATTCTTTTATTTTATTTATTATTATTTTATTCACTTATTAAGACTTCAAAACATTCCTTATAATTTCTTAAATTAAAACTAAAAAAATTTGGATTGTTTTTTTTTAATTTAGAATCGTATGAATAATTTTTGATAATTAATTTTTATGTGTTAAATTTAATTTTTTTATTTTGAATAATAAAAAAATGTCCAAAATTTTTTGAAATATTAAAAAAAATTATTTATGAAAATTTGAAATTCAAATTTTGGCTGAAATATTGAAGTTACCAAAAAATGATTAAAGAATATAATTTCTTCAACTTTTTACTTAAATTTTTTACAAATCAGTTTATAAAGTATTATTTGATTATTTTTTTTTAACATGAAAAATGAACAAATTAAAAAATGTAAGTTTTGATGTCGTGATTTTAACAATTTTTCTAAATTTGTAAGTTCTTACTTTTGATCCACGATTTGATGTAATTATTTTTCAAAATTTTCTAAAATTGATATTACTCTTCGACATGATTACCAAAAATTTAACTAAAAAATTCACATTAAAAATTTTTTTCGCAATTATTTTGAAGCTTCTTTATTTTTAAATGAAACTAAAAAATAGTCAAGTAATTACTAATTTCAAAATCATTATTTTCAAAATTTCTACAAGTCACTCAATCCACATTCTTATGAAAAGTGACCACCACGTAACGTTTTTTGTGCAACATGTGCCTTTAAAAATTCAAACGAAAATAACAGATGGTAATTTTGTTATTTCAGAGTTTAAAAATACGCAGCAGTGTCGAAAATAAAAACCGCGTTCGACTGGCGATACTCTACACACTGAAAATGGTGGCCGAACCTCTACCATTCGAGTGAGGAGAACAGGTAGTGGAATGATTTGCAGGATTTTATCGGATATTGCGATCGGGCAACTTTTTAGCTGCACTTTACTTAAAAGTTTAAGTATATAATACATCTTTTTCAAATCTCTCAACACAAAACAGCAGACCAGTTGCAGAGAATGCGACAAATGTTTGTTCAGCAAGCCACTTGTCTATTATATTTCCTATTATATCCATTTCCTCACTTACACAAGTTTTCACTCCTGTCGGTGAATTCCGATATGTTGACCGCTTTTAAGTGCGTCCTATTTTACTCTAGATAAATCCACAATACAAAAACTACAAAGACTATTCTATATATATACATATATATATCCTACATAGACCACTTGAACCCCAAAGAGACACTATAGTCTTGCAAAGAAAATACGTGTAGTAAATTGATATTTTATTATTTTAAAAACCAAACTAAAAGTTATTAAATACAAACAGTTTTTTACCAAATTTCCTTTATGTCTTCCTCGTATCATCCTTTTAAATTGGAAGCTACAACTTTTTAGTGTTTACATTTTGTTTTATGTCTACAAAGCCCTTTTACGTCTTATTCTATCATCATCCATGAGAAAGATTTTCCCGTTAAAATTTTCTCATAAAATTAAAATTTAAATCCACAGATTTGTTTTTCAAGAGTATAGAGAGTAAGTAACTTTGTGAAATAATTAAAATTGAATCCTAGAAAGTGACCGTACAACATCCTGTGAAGGTAACTGCATCCGGAGATTACCTACTACATATATTTATACATAAAATAATAATAATAATAATAATAATAATAATGTGTAATTCTGTTGTCTTTAGGTGAATTTTATGAGACAAGACCTAACCGTTAAATTCGTTGTCCTCGCTCGAGGGCGCCTCTGTTTAAACAACATGAGAGACGAACAAGACTCATCATTCACTCGACTATTCTTGAATACATTATTATTATTATAGATATATATTCAAGTTTTCATCCCGGTCTTGTCTCATTCTCATTCACTTTAGTCTGTGTCTATCTCCAGGAAAATTATCCGTCCTTTTAGCAGCCATCCGAGATAAACGACGG